AGGACGATTCTTCCCTTCACTGGACTTCATGAAGTTCGAAGTAGAAGACATGAATGGCACATTCACTACCTTTACTCCTTCTGAAGGTAGCAGAATCTCTTTCACTGGCAGTGGCTTTGCCATGCTTCATCCAGGACAATTTGCTCACACAAGTGTTGCTGATATGACCCTGGCCAGTCATGAGTATCATGCTGTTGTTAGATACAGCATCATGGAGAGCTGCTTTTTTGGTTTTCCATCAAAGCTCGTCTTAATTGTTAACTCCTTGTCTTCTAATGACAGTTCAGAGTTCAATATCTTTTTGGATCAGCTACCACAGGGGTCTGGACAGGCCTGGCAATCACGCAGCACTCTTCAGTTGTTTTCAGATGAAGTTTATAACTTAACACTGACTTACAATGCTTCTGACAGCAGTGACAACTGTTCTGTTCTTTTGGATTCACTTGTCTTCATTCCTGATGTCAACATTACAAGGGTATACACGGGGTCCAGTGAGGAAACTCAGAATCAACTTCAGAGTTGTGTGCGAGCAAAAACGTCTCTCTCACAAGCGCAGTCCGAACCAGCACAGTGTCAGGGACTGGTGTTTTCTGTCAGCTCAGAGATTTACAATGGGACCTTACGTAAGCAGTTTTATTGTTATGTAGACAGTGATAAATGTTCTTGCAAAAGAATCAAAATGTATCATTCTTTTTTCTTCACTAACATTATATTTTACAGCTCTGGAGGCTGCTATGGTATCAGTGTTCACTTTAACATGTTTTCGTGGTGGTTCTAGATAGCTTGAAATAATTCTGAAATGATGAATATATGACTTGCATTACAAAAAATGTTTTACCTGCTCTGGCGAGGACACTTAGTATAGAAAATTCCAAAACTCAGAGCAAAATTTGAGACAAAAAAAAGAATATTCCCCCCAAATGGCTCAAACTTTATAAGTGTGGTGAAGTGAATTGAGATGAATTATTGGACCTACCAGCAATTTACAATCCTCTCTTGGGGATGTGTAACAACTACTGATGACGTTCAAGCGATTCGGACAAAATATACGTTTTTTGTCTCAACTTTTGCACTGAGTTTTGGAATTTTCTATACTTAATATGACTTTCATATATTTGAACTAAGGCATGAAGAAATAAGTGCAGAGAAGATCATCACAGTTAAATCAGTTAAAAAGGCCATTTTCACGATGACGTCATTTTACTACTACTGGCAGAATCCTTCAGGGTTTTGCTTTCTTGTGCAAATTAGGGCTTTGTTATTTAAACCCCAACTGGGATTACCAAATTTTTAATATGAATGGCAAAACGAAAAGGATTCTGGCCGTAGTAATAAACAACGCCATCATGCAAATGGCCTGTTCGCAACTTTTACAGTTGCGAAAAGAAAGCTTGAAATTCCGGCTTACCGGGATTCGAATCACCGGTGCTGTGCTCTAACCAAGCTAGCAAGCCAAATGGATTGCGTAATATATGCGGTAGAGATGAAGATGAATTGATAAATATATGAGATACTGTAACTCATTTACAAATCATCCCAGAGGCAAATTCACGTGTTTTGAGAACAGAAAAATAGTTTGCTCAAGATTTTTAATGAGAGTTTCAGGAACATATTTTGTACTTGACGAACTGCAAAACAGCCAAAAACGTCTTTTATGTCGCACATATCCAAGTTTGGAAAGAAGAAATAAATATTTGTCGTTGCATATTTACGTCCTCCATGGAACGTAAAATTAAGAAATTGTACGTGGTGCAGAGAGGGTTTAACAGTGTAAGAATTGTAACAAAAAGTCTGCAGAGTTCTTGTTTTGCTTATTAAAGCTTTTGTGGTTGTTAGACCATCCCCTCGCCGTCGCTGTCAACACCTCTTAAACCCCCTTTTTGCGTATGTCAGCATGAATTTTTTTCAAACCCACGCGAAGACCATCACTTGGTGATAGTGATAAAGTTGTTTTAATGTGTTTGTAGCTTGTGGTTGTGATCCAGTGGGTACAGTAGCAGGATCACATTGTACAGCATATGGCGGACAGTGTCCCTGTCTTCCTGGTGTGGTGGGACGAACTTGTGACTCATGTGATGTTGGCTTTTATGGATTCTCTGCTGCTGGATGCAAGCGTAAGTTAATAAAGCTTTTTGATATGACAAAGAAAACCCTATAAAGGGTTTCGTTTATCTTTTTCTCACGATTGTCACTTAGATATTGCCTTGCACACAATGTCTTTCTTCTCTTAGTGAAGTATCATCAACCAATGGGCCATTTGCACAAAGAAGTCATGTGACATCGTTTTTATGAAAATGAAAGTTACATGGTTTTTTCTTCAAAAAACAATTAGTGGGACATATCTTTAACAAAATAATAGTGATATGGTTTTGCAAACCTGCACCATTTTCTTAAAATGAGTAAGTTCGTAGCTGGTCACGTGACCAAAATGTGATTTTTAAATTATGAATTACTTCTTTCTGAACCCAAACTTTGCACTTAAACTTCAACGAAAATGTTGAAAAGTTGATGTGGGAACGTTTACAGCACATCTGAGCGTAACTATCAAACGTTTAACAAGATCTAAGCAAAAATTAGTTTTGGCCGCCATTGGAGGGCAAGAGTATGCCCTCCAACATGGCGGCCAATACCCCTGGCCAATACAAATGATACTACTTTGTTGAAAAATCAAAGTGCCATAAAATATCCCCCTTAAATGCGTTTCCTCTCAAATTTCGGGTGTAAGATGATTTTTATGTGCTCTGTCAATTTTGGGCATCAGCAAGATTCCAGCTTATTGTTTAAAGAAAGCATTGGTCACGTGACCTCCTAGTGCAAGTGGCCTATTAAAATGAAGACTGATCGAGATATAGTAGTGAAAGAGATCATCTCTGCTGCATGGCTTCCAAGAAAGCGTTTTTTTTTTTTGCCACATAAAACTGTTACTTGTCCGTGCATGAGTGTGATTTGTTATGAAATAACTTAGACACTACAGTTGTTATTAGTAGTGTAGTAGAGATGTTTTAGGCCCTTTTTTGTGGGGGAACATATTAACGCCGATGATGTCATAGCCTTTTGTCTTTATCTCATGAATAAAATGCGGTGGAATCTCATTAAGATAAGGTTATGTGCTATTGTTTATTAAGTTTAACCAGCTTGACAGGTTTTTGATCGATAGTATCTTAGTTTTCGATTGGTTGACGAAAAAAGGTATTCATTGATTGGTTCATTTTGTCGAAGCAATAAGCGCTAACTCGCCTTTGATTTAAAATTGCTGAGCCATAACGTGATTATGCAAGTTCTATTTTCTGTTGCTTTCATTGTCCAACAGATTTCTTTCTTTTATTTGCCCCCTGGGAAACCACGTGACATTGCTTTTATCCCATCAGTGCTTTAGCGCATGCAAAGATGGCGATATCGTGAATAAGGTCTATTGCTCTAGTTCGGGTTCACTTATTCTTGGTGTGCAAATCGTACATATTAGTAAGGGCGAAGGAGAACTGACTCTTTCTAACACAAACACAATTTGTTACGTACCCCTCCCTCTTTCTTCTTCTCCACAATTCAATTATTTCGCTCTTCCTCAATTTTTTCCCTTCTTTTTACCTCTTTCTCAATCAACCTCTTTTCTTCATCCTTTGAATTTTGTGCTAATTTCAAAAAGCAGTAAACAAATGATAAAAAAAGGGTAAAAAAAGTGGAAAACAACTGACTCGGAAACGCAGAAGAAGAAAGGGCGACGAGGCTGGTTCACCAGTTAAGTATCACCGTGCCCATTTTTGTAACGTTTCAAAAGCAAAATATACGATGTATTGATCCTTTCCTACTGTTGATTGGGATCCTGATAGTTACATTTTTATGGTCAAAGAATTGAGGCAAGTGAATAACTGGCATTGTAATAGTCACGTTACATAGAGATGTGCATTGGTTACATAATCAAAGCCCTTTCTTCTCTTCTTTTGGCGGCGTTAGCACGTATACAGAAGACCAATGTCGTGATTAGAGAAAACGCCCTTATTGGAATAACAATATAAGCAAATTAACTCTTCTCACTCATTGATATCCTCGTCAGTTTTCTAGAGCTTTTTAGCCTGTTAACAGTAAAAATACGCTATTTTACCGTTCTTGTTAGTGACAGTTACTAAGTTTCTGTCTGATTGCAGATAATAATATCATTGCATGATGAATATTTATAGCTTTTATTCTTATTCCAATTAAAGAAGGTTATTACGGCTGACGACGACATTGGTCTTCTTTTCTTTTGGCGGCGCCGGCATGTATGTAAGTAAAAGATCAATGACGTCACTAGTGGAAATCCCCCTATAAGAATAACAATGAAAGCAAGTAAACAGCTATCAGCCCAGAATGTTCCCATCAGTTATGTAACAATTTTACCATGATTTTTTTTGTGTGTGTTATGTAATATACAGCCTATAAATATGATTCTCAACTTGTGCATTCAGTTTTCAAAAGCTTTGTTACAAAGCGATTTTGAGTTGTATGGCAGTATGAGAAGAAATCGACAGTCTGCCTGGGATCTTCGCGACAACAGAGAAACACGACTTTCAACATTCCAGTTTCCTTCAGCCCAAGCCACCGCCATCGAGAATGATCAGAGCATGCGATTAAGGTCATCGGAAGACCGTTCTTTTGACCTCTACTCCCACAGATCTCCTTCGTATGAGGTCAAGCGAAAGTTTGGCGATGTTGCAGCAAGATCCTGCCCACGGTTCTCAGATTACCAACCAACCGTGGTGTTCTACAAGGATAGGGACACCGGCAGCTCATCAGGCGAGGAATTAATCGCTTCAGAGGCTGATAGAAACTCTTGGGCCGGCGCGTCGGTAGAATGCCCTTTCGTGATCTACAAAGAAATCAGTAACGGTCATGCTATTCCATTGTACACATCAACGTGCAGACAAACGAACAAACCACAAACTGAGGGCAGACGAGCTTTTAAGACGACAATGCAAGAACTAGCATGCTGCAAGGATTGTTCACACTATCGTAGTCAACCAGTTCTCCAACGCTATTCACAATGGATACCATCCTACCAAGCGAGGCCACACCACAGAAATTCACATCAGTCATCAAGTCCACAAGGCTATCCTACTGAGAAAGTGAAGGCTCTAAGAATCAGTCCTGACCATGCACACTGGCCGTTTACTCCTCAAAGAAATTCACATCAGCATTACCAAATTCAAGGAGACGTTCAAGGATGTTCAAACGAGTCCAGGCGCCCAGACCCCTCTAAACTGCAAGCTAAAGAAATCATTCGAAGCTATTCACACCAGCCCCCGAGCCTTCACTGCTAGTCAAACAGCGGACATGTTATGCAGGCGCAATCATGTCGACCCGGACGTTATCATCCGAGCCACAGGCAAAACCAAGGACGCAGATCAGGCTTCTCATACCAACACTACCCTAACTACCAAGCCGACAGTCCAGGTTATTCATACCATCCAACAGGTTACAGATGGCGACCCTGTCGATACAACAGCGAACACCTATGAACAGCACCACTTGAAACAGCCAACAAAAGGCCCTTCCCATTCACACCGGCCAACAAAGACAGACACCAATAGGAGCCTAGCCAGGAGAACACCAGGGAATCGGCAAAGGTTTTCACGCCAGCCTACTGATAATCAAAAAAGTCCGTGCACACACCTATCAAATGATTCCCACAACCATATTTATGACACAGGAAAAAACCAACCTAATGGGGATCACATCTGCTCAGCCAAGACCGCCTCAGGAAAAGGAATCCATAACCCATCAGAAGCCGCAACGCAGCGGATTGGTCGTGATTCAAGGCCTCCACCATCGCAGCAGTTTGCCAGAAGGAGAAATGGCACAGTAATTTCAACTCCCGTGTCAAAAGGACGTGAAAGTTGGTCCCGCATCAAGTTCGATTTTCCCCAGCAAAGCCGAAATGAACCTTGTGAGGCTACTGGAAATCAGTGGCGACGAAGAAGAATTGGTGTTTGCCTGGACACTGACGCTACTCAAGAGCAGCGAAGATTTACACGAGTGTTAGCCAAACGTTTTTAAGAGGATCCAAAGGAATCCGTGACTTAAACAAACTGCATGTAAATAATTTTATTTATGAAGTCACAGTATCTCCAAGCGTATTGCATTATTAGGGCCCCCATCCCTGACGTCAGCAATTGCATGCCAAACCCAAGGTTATACATACGCCAGTACAGTGTAGGACGTCCTTTGTACAAAGAAAAGTTAAGTGTAATTTTAATAATTAGAAATTATTGGATGGAGCTAGCTTTGATATGAAGAATTCGGCCTGAGTGGATGACACCGCAGATATCTCGCACATTCGGTTGGCCTACGCTCCAGTCCCGCCGCGACTATCTAAAGTGCATGCTAGTGTTTAAGAGCCTTCGTGGCCTGTATTAAGCCCTTCTTGCTTTGTTGTTAGGCGGTAGTTTGGCTATTTCTTCAGGGTCGACTAGCTCGATTAATGGTTCGTTTGTTCCCGACTAGTCCTTTCCCGCTGAAAATGGAAAATGGATTAAATTCATCAATTAAAATCTTTTCCATTTTCTCCAGGTCTGCCAAAACAGCTGAGCTACCGTGCCTTCTGCTATCCATTTTTCTGTCGATATCAGTACAATAGACGTCACCTGTACTGATATTGACAAACATATTCCAAATTTGGTCAACACCAGTGGTGTTATGAAGAATTAGTCGGGGGATTTAAGCCAATCAGAAATAAAGAAATATTTTGAATGAATAATGAAAATAATAAATACCGCGAATGCTGTAGATAATTTGAAGTTGCCGCCCAGATTTTTCCTTGCAAGTTCTTTTTTTTTTTTAATCTTCAGAAAAGGGCAATGATGATCTTAATCTTCATTGTAATAGTAAGATTTGTATTTATTAAAATCATAATCATGATGTCCGGCATTTTTTTCGTCCTTGTTAACATTAACAAGGAACATCTTTAGACTTGTGTAAACAAAATGTGTAAGCCCTGTGGCACTTGTGTAAATAAACTGAAATAAAATGCGAAATATTTTCTGTCAAAAGAGAATTCTGTATTTCAGCATATTTTATAGTCTAAATCTTATGAACCACATAAAATAGAAAATATGCAGAAGGAAAAAAAACACAAATTTTGTCTAAATCTGGTCATACGATAGTGGAAATGTAATTATTGACTTTGCGACCTGAGCAATCATAGGGTACTGGCTGATCTTGTACAGAGAGAAGGTTTATATCAGCATGAGACGAAGAAAAGGTTGATACAGATAAGATGCAATCTAAATTTCTGTACGAAACGTTTTCCTCTAAAATCAGCTGCAAGCCAATGGCTATCAAAAAATATTACGAAACGCTCAACAGGCAATCATTTTAGTCACTAAATTTTCCACTGACTTTCAAAATAACGATGTAATGTGTTAAATCGGATGTTTAAGGTTACCGGAAGTATACCTATAGTACATCCCCCAATACCCTGCACTCTCGGTTTAGGGCGTTGAGATGCCCCCAGAACCGTGTCAGGTTTTGTTGTTGATGAAGATCCTGTAGCATCGAGGTGATTACGTATTAAAAGTACAGAACTTAACACGTAGGGACTAGGATGGGTTGATAGAGGACACTTTCGTGGAGGTTTTAAGCGGGATTTCCGTATGTTAGGAGGCATAGTTTGGTGCGATGCCCGGGAAATCGAACGAGACTGAAGGTTCGGCGAGTAACGGCGTTATAATTTCGACGCCAGTGGCTGTAGAGGTCATTGGTTTGCTGCCTTTTCTTTTAACAGGGGATCCGCACTCCATTTCACGGGAGAAGGAGTGACAACAATAACAACGATAGAGTAGGGGAACAATGAAAATGTGGTAGTGGTGGTGGTGTTGGTGGAGGGAAAATAAAGAAAATTGAGGCAGCACGGCACTCCGGCGTCAGAGGGACAAGGAAAAATAAACAAAGAAAACAACCACCCCTTGTTGCTTTGTCCCGAAAAGAGTCTGCCTATTATCGATTTGCGAAAATTTGTTCCCAAATCCAAGGTCCGAAATTGAAATCAGCGAAACTTTTCCTTGGGAAACTCAAAACCCCGATTATCTACAAATTGAAATAAAAACCTACCATATTTTCTGCCTTGCGGTAGCGGGAGACCGAACTTTCTGTTTTGCTATTTAGTGTGTTGAAAAATTCGAAAAATCAGGAGAAAGACTGAACTTCGGCCCATGACCTGCAAGCCTTTCTCATTCTTCTCCAGCACTCTGCCTAGGTGTGTTTCGTCTGTAAAGCTCTAGTTAGTTCGGTCTCACATTTTAATTTTTTTCTTCACGCTTGATAGCAATGCATATGTAGGTTGCGTTGGTTCTCTCCTTTGCTCCAACAGGTTTTTCTCCGGGTACTCCGGTTTTCCCCTCTCCTCGAAAACCAATATTTCCAAATTCCAACTCGACCAGGAATGATAGGCGAAGAATCACTATGTGGATATGCTACCTCTTAAACGCTATTTAATTATTTATTTATTTCACTTGAATTCTTTGTAGGTTGTCAATGTTCAATCGCTGGATCGTTAAGCTCAGCCTGTCATATGATCACCGGCGAGTGTAGCTGTAAGAGCAATGTTGAGGGCTCTAACTGTGACATTTGTAAGTCTGGTACATTTAACTTGGACAGTGGTAACCATCAGGGATGTTTGCACTGCTTTGGCTACTTTCGTGCTATCAGTTGTTTATCTGCTACTGGATTTGTTGCATCAACTATCACAAGCCAGTTTGTAAATGAAACAGGTATTTTGCAGTGATAAATTTAAAAAAATCTTGTTACTTTTGAGAAAGAGCAAGAAGAAATGCTCTTGAACGACAGTAGGTGTGAAGGTTAATTTGTAGAGAGCTGATGAAGATTTATAAGATGCAATAAGCGCTAAACTAATCAAAGGTAGTACTTTAGCTGTTACATTATTTGTTATAATATATATCTAGCCAGATTTTTGAAATCGAATCTACAGTGATTTTGCTGCCTGTGCGTCCTGCGTCCCTGATACATAAAAATCCCCATCTCCCGAAAATATCGATGTGAACATGTATGTATATTTGTAGAAATATCCCGTTCGTGTAATTTCTGTGGCAGTTATTATGGCTGTTGTTGAACGATGCATATTTCTTTTAGCCTTTGTTATGCTTTAAAATAGGACTATATTTTATTAATTTTAGTGTGCTGCAACACAGAGTTTTGGACTCTGTCTTCAGATTAAGGTCGAAAATAACACTAAAGACCCACTTCACAACGTTCCGGAAGAATTTTTCACCGGCCGAAAATTCGTGCATTAAGGTGTTACGTTCACAGGGAACCAAGCTAACATACGAAAATTTGAACGCTTAGCTGTTCGAAAATTCTAACGCTAAAATCAAGGTCAAATTTTTAGCCGGTACGGTCGAAAATTTAACCGAAGTAATGTGAACACCATGACCGTCTAAATTTTTGTTCGACAAATTTGACCGGGGCGGTGTGAACGCTATAACTATCTAAAATTTTGTACCGCAAAGGCGCGGTTGCATGGATGCGTGGAGCATCGCAGTTGTAATGGCTGTCATGCGTGTTCACGAAACAGGAGCAAATTTCAACAATGAGCTTCGACAAGAATTCTTTGCATTTGCACCCGTTGTGCATGAGTATTTTTTTTAACAACTATCGTGGGAATTCGTTTATTTAGGAGCCCATGGCTTTTGATTTACGTACAGGTTCGAATATGAAGACTGTCGAAACGAGGCTTGGGAGAAAAATTTGCTCGTCTGATGTAAACATGCCTAGGGGCTGTTGCCATTAAACCAGTTCAGTGCAGAAAAAAAAGTTTAGCTGAACGGTACGTAAAAGTGGTCGGTGTTGGTCGAACCGTGGTCCCAAGCTAACGTTTAGTGTTCGTAACTGATGTGAAGTGTTGTGTTTTTCAGTGTTTAATTGGACAGTCGTTAACAGAACAGGCGGTGTTGTGCCATTTGCCAGTTCTGCGAGCAGTGGACTGGTTGTTACATCTCCTTCCTCCCCAACAGTTGTCTACATAGCAGCGCCATCAAAATTTCTTGGTGCACAGTTTAAATCTTATGGTCAGCACCTAAACGTCAAAGTATGTACTTAATATATAGATTTAGTCATCAGTATGGAATTTTTTGGGCCCAAATCGACGTCTCTCCCGCGAAACGTCCTCAGCGGCGGAGAGCGGGGAGGGACGGCTGTGTTCGCATGCTAGTTTTGTTTTCATTGACCTGATCATGAGCTGCTCCAGCAGCTCTGCAGGTTTCTGGTTGCCTGCGCTCGGCATTGGGATGCATCGCGCGCCTTGTCTTCATATGCGTATTCACCCAATCCAAACCTATTTTTTGCAGATGGAAATAAGAGATCCTGGAAGTGGCCAGAAGCCACTTGCAGCTAGCGGTGACGTCATCCTTGAAAATGGAGCGCGAGAAGTGGCCTTAAACTTTATACCCTCTCCCTCACCAAACGTCACATCATATCACGTGATACTGGATGAAACTCACGTGGTTAGTGAGCCGCCCGTCTCGCCGCTTGAGTTCCAGTCTATTCTGGCCGAGCTGATGTCATTTAAGATCCGTGCCACATACTATCCCTTCCCGCAAGGAAGCGTGACATTCAAAGAAGTTACCATGGAAACAGCTGTGCAAGCTCAGGACGCACCTGGGGAAGTGAGCGTTGGATTTGTGGAAAATGCGACATGTCACGTGAACTACACAGGACTGTCTTGTGAACAGTGTGCACAAGGTACTGGAATTAATATGCAATTAGTCATTCCTAATGTTGATCAAAACAATAGAAGTCGTTACCTCACGTTGCCATGGTAGCAAAATTACTGGATCTCAACAAACCGTGGCCCTGTAAATATGGCAGAAAAAAAAGGCGAAAAAATTGACGTGTATAAATTTCATGATTACAATCAGAAACAAAACGATCGCCCATACTTTTCTTCCATCGTTCGACAATGCAAATGGCCGTCTCTGTCAAGAAAGATGATTAAGATCCAGAAATTTTGTTGCCATGGTAACCTGACGTCACACTCCACCTCTCTACTTGTCTCATCTTTGGAAGGGGACAGACTATGGACGATTGTTTCTCCTGTAAATATCTAATCGTGGTAATTAACTGTTCATCAGCAGGATGCCTAAAATGCCGGAAAGTGCACAATAACTCTCACCTTCTTTATTTGGATCCTTTTGTCTATCTTCAAACAAAGAGGTTCTTCTAGGCCTGAACCACGTTCCAAGGTCACTCGCTCTCGCGGCTGGTCCAGTACCTCCCACTTTGCCCACTGTGAAATACTACTTTATTTAGCCAAACTTCGTTATAACGATCAGTTGGTCTTCACTAACAAGATGATCGTGTTAGTGAGATTTCCGTCTTTCAAAAAATACTCATGGGGCACTAAAATTTTGTTATACAGTGAGACCTCGATATATTAAAGGGCGAAGGGACTGCCAAGATTTGTTCGCTATAACGAGGTTTCGTTATATCTAGATTCGTTTTCACTGATATATTTTACTATTACTGGGGTAAAGAAAACTGTTCGATAAACAGCGGACTTCGTTATATAGAGGTTCTATTGTACCCCTGTACGTATCCTCATCCTTGTCTTTTGAAAGGAGTGTGTGTGTCATGTACCCCGGCAAAAGACCCTTAATAAAACTTCCGAGTCTCTTTGTGTACTTTATCCTTGTTTTTCTGCTTTTCCAATTTTTTAAATTGCTTGTGATAATTTCTTTGTACCGTCCTTTTGTTTCTGAAGGCCAGATCTCACAAGTAAATATTTGCTTATAAATTGCTATGGCTCTCATTTGTCAGGGTTTACTCGTGAAGTAAATGGAAGTGGTTCATTTGGCCGTTGTGTTTTGTGTTCGTGTAATAACAGGAGCACCCAGTGTGACAGCGAGACTGGTGTGTGTATCAACTGCCAAGTGGGTACTTATGGCAACCACTGTGAGCTGTGTACCAACAACGTACAGGGACCCGAGTGCAGACGGTGTAAACCTGGTTACTGGGGACTCTCAGAGAGTGGTTGTAAAGGTACAAACACAGATCAACATCTCCGAACCCCGCCTTCTAACGGCCCTGGAACCAGTTTCTCGAAAGGCCCGGTAACTTTTCGCCCCAGAAAACAATCATTCAAATAAAAATCTAAAGTATAAAAGTGTCGGTAATAGCTTAACAAACAGTCCTTTTGTTTTGGTGACTTATAGTTTTATCATATCATTTCCAAATTACGAAGGTTCGACCCTGAATGTAAACTAATAACAACAACTTTCAGGACCCGTTAGTTATAGGGACTTTCGAGAGCCTGGCAGCCCGGCCTCTGAGCAAGTTCTCCGAGGTCTCATCATCTAGGTGAATAGCCCACGTTCGATAAATTAGAATTCTAACATGACTCCGAGGCAAGGTCCAAAGAAAGAAGAAACAGTTGAAAATCTCAGTATTTCTGGCAAACCCATTTATATAATGTCTGATACTAATTTAAACCTTCTGCATTTTAATTCTTGTAATTATGTTCAAGACTTTCTTTTCACTTTGCAGAGCCTTAACTTAACTCCTACAATTGATAAGCCAACTCGCGTACACCGAAATTCTGCTACCTTAACTGACAATATTTTCACTAATAAGGTAGAAGAAAATATCATCAGCGGGAACCTAATTTCAGATGTTAGCGATCATTTCGCGCAGTTTTGTATTTCACAATCACCTATATCAAAAGAAAAACCTGCCAGATTACTCTCACGAGATTTTTCTAATTTTACAGAGAGAAATTTTATAAATGATCTTTTACTTATTAACTGGGATCATTCTGTTCCTGATAACGAAACGAACGTCAATAAGCTCTTTTTGTCTTTTTACAACAAACTAAATAAAATAGTCAATAAACATGCCCCCTTTAAATCTATCTCACGACGTAAAGTTAAAT